TCTAACAAATAAGTTCTTGTTAAAAACTAACCAAAATTAAAAATAATTATATATCGGGATCGGCTATCGGCCAAAATGAGTTGAAAATTAACGGCATATCGGATATCAGCAAAAATCCAATATCGTGCATCCCTATTTATTTCCATTTAAGTGTTTTATTATATTGCTGATTGATAAAACAGGCCACTTGATATTGGCTATATAGCTCACCATGCCTCTGAATGATTTAACATTGACATTTACCACAGTATTTATATGCATTCAAAGAATGCCATGGTTTGTGCCCGACACTTCATGAAGATCAGACTTTTTACATGCTGTGCAATGATAATGAATCAGACGTGGCTGGTTTCGTCATGCTGATGGTTGTTGGATCGATCAGGGTGTGTGTGTGTGTGTGTGTGTGTGTGTGTTACGGTTACACACATTCCTGTGTGATGAGCACTAATGAGGGTGTGTTTTTCCCGCAGGCTCAACCTCCGGGAGCTCGGGCCGCTCGCCGCTCACATGCGCTGGTTTGTGTGGCTGATGGCGGCCGCTGGGACCATCTATGTGTTTAACTACCACGAAAAGTACGTTTGACTTCAACTTAATGTCTTATACTGTATCTGATATCCCTTGACAACATACCTTAATTATGCAAAAATTGATAATTAAAGGGTTAGTTCACCCAAAAATGAAAATTAGGCTGTGTTTTACTCACCCCCGAGGCATCCTAGGTGTATATGACTTTCTTCTTTTAGACAAATCCAGTCTGAGTTATATAAAAAAAATTGTCTTTGATCTTTCAAGCTGTTTAATGCCACTCAGCGGGTGTTGCATTGCTTCAGTCCAAAATAAGTTAAATAAAAAGCGCCCATCCATAAAAAAAAAAGTCTCACACGGCTCCGGGGGGTGAACAAAGGCCTTCTGTAGCGTTTTTGTAAGAAAAATATCCATATTCAAAATGTAATAATCACTTTAATGTAGCTTCCGCCAACAGTTGTACACTGAAGCAGCTCTTGGCTGATGACATATGAGGTCAGCGCTGCGCATGCGCTGGTGAGTCTCGTGAAAACCAACGTTTGTTAACAGGAGCAAAGGAAGCAAAGTTTCCTTACTTTAGCAAAGGAAAACCAGTCTCCTCTTGGCTTATATCGAAATCCTC